TTCTTCTTCTTCTTCTTCTTCTTCTTCTTCTTCTTCTTCTTCTTCTTTTTTCTTCTTAACATATATTGCATTATTTGTTTCAGAGGTACAGATCTGTGACTCAACAGTCTTGCACAATTCACAGTGCCCACCCTTTCCTTTTAAAATATACTTCATTCTCCTTGTCTTTATTAATGGAGATTCCCTCTGCACAAATTCAACCTTTAATTTTCTCAGAATAATTATATGATCATCAGATTATTGCTCAATATTAAAATATCTGTCAACATTTTTTGAGCCTCTTAATTATGGATCCTAAAAAGGACTCTCTAACTGGGCAATGACTAGAAAGTTTGTACTAATTGGAAGATTTAGTTAGAAAGGTTGAAAGGGAAATTTAGCCTAGTTGAGCATTGTAGGGCTTTTAAAAAGGATTCATTGTGTTTTTAGTTGGAAAACAGAAAAAAGACAACATAAAGGAAAGCTTGAAAGGTTTTTTTTGAACCCTAGTTTCCTCCCTTTCTAAGCTTATTCTTTTTCTACTAGAAAGTTCTTTTTCATTGTCCTCTATTTATTTTGGTTCATATAAATTTTTTTTTCATTTCCTCTTCATTAGTCAGGAGTGCTTCCTAAGATAAAATGTCTGTAATAGTGGGAGCTGCTTAACCTATTTTACCTTAGGTCATACTTAAACCTGTGATACAGCATTTCCAGAATATATATCATTTTATGTAGCTTATGTTAAATTTGCATTGTTTTGTGGAACAGCCGTAGAAAATGAAGAAACTCATTTATTTGACTGAAAAAACATACCTTGGTTAGCTACTTGGGTGCACATTTTAACAAATAAGAATGAAATATTAAAGAATAAATTTTGAGAGGCTACAGGAAGGCCTTGCCTTAAGAAAAGCAATAATTCACATTTGGATTTCTTTAATAGCTTCTGCTAAAAACACCTTACATTTTTAATCTGATATATAAACTATCTACTTTACAGAAACATACCCTTTGACAAAAGCAAGATGTGTGTGTGTGTGTGTGTATGTACACACTTATACACACACACACACACACACTGCACTGATCATAACATTCTGGCTTTTTTTTATAAAGATTTTATTTATTTATTTGAAAGAGAGCAGAGAAAGAGAGAGAGCACACACGAGTGAGGGGGGAGGGGCAGAGAGAAAGGGAGAAGCAAGCTCCCCACTTGAGCAGGAAGCCCAACTCGGGGTTCTATCCCAGGACCCTGGGATGGATCCCAGGACCCCAGGACCACAACCTAAACTGAAGGCAGACACTTAACTGACTAGCCACCAGGCGCCCCAACATTCTGACTTTCTATCACTTCCCACTGTCCAGGCTATAGTTATGCATGAAAATTAGAAAACACTGGGAACATTTTTTAAATCCCAGTACAACTATTTCTGTAAAGTATACATTCTGTTCTTCAAAAGTTTTTTTCAGTGTGAACTTTCTAGCTAGACTCACAAAATAGTTTCCTCAGAAGGCAAGTAAGTCAAATTGAATATTTCTTCCTACTCCAAAATATCAATAAAATATCTCACAGATTTAGTGAATTAATGAGCACTCTGACATCAAATCTGTCCCCCCCGCAACCACCCAGCCACCAAATAGCTCCACGCCCCCCCCCCCCGCCCTTTCAGGCCCTATGTAACAGACATTCCCTTTACGCACTGTGGTGTCTTTATCTTGGTGGATCTTCTATTGCTCCGTTCACATCATTTCATTTGTCTATGTACATGTGGTTGTGAAATTAAAAGACAAGTTTTATGCCAGTTGTTTAACAAAGGCAGTCTTATTTCTTTTTATTTCCACCACTAAGGTCATATTTGCTCAACTAGATTGAAAGTTCTTAGGTCTGTCTTGTCGAAAGTGTCTGCTCAAGCATCTCAGCCACATACTCAGCTGTATTGACATCTCAGTAAGATGCCTTCAACATTGTACTTCAGGTACTACTCAGTCCGTTTGTGGTAGGGTGAAGCTACCGGATAATACAAATACTTTCTCCCAAGTCCCATAGATTCAGTTCCCCTAGAATGAAAAATGAATTTTCTGGATGTCACTTTTTCTTTTCGCTAAACTTCAGAGTTTTAACTGCAGAAACCTACACTGACAACAAAAATTGATTTTTCTTTTCCCTTCCTCCTGTCCTTCTGGAGCCCATCCTGGCCATGTCTGCACTTTTACCATAACTATGCTAAGAGAAGAATGAGCATCCAAGTACCACACCTACAGTAGAGAAGTTAGCTAGATCCTCATGCCGTTTCCATCAACAGCTACTGATGACAAAGTTAGTTGCCAAGAAGATACATTAAGCTATGAACACCAATCTCCCTTAGCTTTAATATACACTGTCAAATTTGGGCCAGCCTTACTTCCTCAGGCTTTTCTGCTCATAGAAAACTAGTTAATATTTCCCCGATAAATGCTCTCTGCTTCTGTATCTGAAAGACAAATAAAGAGCCTACTGCCAAATAGCCATTAGGCTTGTCAGATTTGCTTTACTTTATTATCCATGCAAAGTGCTCAACAGAGGACTCCATTCTAAAACACTGCTAGAGTTCACTACTCAAATATTACGTTCAGACCATACTCTTTCCTTCATCACAGGGGATATGGCATTGGAACACGGCTGGTGGAAGACTTTTTGGCTCGATCTTGTGTAAGAAGATGCCATAGTTATTCAGAAATTACAGACATAATTGCCCAGGTAAATGCGTTTTTAGCTCTTTCAAGATGTTTTGAAAATCTTTGATTTGTCCTCAGTTCTGAGGCTTTCTGCTCTGATTTGGGTAGGTTCTAGCTGTATTCATTATTAGGTGCTAAGAGATTCTGATTGAAAAACATTTTATTTCAGCACAGGATTAAAGCCTTTGTGAACAGAGGTAAGTGCTTTTAGGCACTTAAGCATCTATAGATTTTTCTGACCACACAGTGTGTGTGGAGTGTATGCCCCACACGGGAAAATGTTTTGAGATGGTAAACAGAAAGGGCGTGTAATAAGGGCAACCTCATAACATGATGTCCCAAACCGGTTTCTTTGTATAATCACTTTAGCACACAGAGGAAGTGGTCTTCGGCTGTCTCAGAGAATATTGTTGTGGCCATTTTATTCCCAGAGCAATGTTTCCCCAAGAGAAAAATAAAGCTTCCTGTAAAAGTATGTGCTCTAAGAACTTTCACAGGTATATCAATACCAGAGACAACTTGGAATCTCCTGAGACCAGCTCAGATAACTTAGGTAGAAGATGAGATCGGGAAATGCCTCCTTAGCCAGAATCCCTTTAATCTGCTGGTCTACGGTTATTAACCTAGTGTCGTTCATTTGGGGGAGACCTGGCAAGTACGCCTGGGTATCAGATATTTATAAGGTTCAGGTATACTGCCTCCAGATTCTCACAACAGACCTATTAAGTTGGTCTCCTTCTTCTTTTCTCTCCTGACCCTTAATATTATTATTTCCAAACTGACTCTTCACGTGAGTGGCAATAATCGTTCTACATAGTGCTTTGTGACTCCAAATGCAGTTTTACATGTTCTTTTGTCTTTTACTCTTACGGTATCCCTGTGAAGTAAGCAGAGTAGGAGTTGTTCCCATTTTCCAGATAAGAAAACTGAGTCCCAGAAAGATTATGATAAAAATTGAGTACTAGTATATACCAAAAAAGTATGCATTCAAAAACACAATCTAAATGAAAGATTTTCCCAATTCTTGTTACCCTTACTCTCATTATTTCATTTCTCATTATTTCATTATTTCATGAATAATGTGGTTGAAATTGAAATCCAGTTCTTCTAGTCTCAGTGTAGTGAGTTTACCACACAACTAAACAGGTTAAAAAATTCTCTTTCCCTATTTGCAGAATATAACTAAAAGAATGAAGCAGTAGTTTGAAAAATAAAATAATTTTTCACTAAGCCAAGTTTATGTGCAATACTAGAAAAATACTAGGTGTTTTAATGGGAAATATTTGAAATATATAAATGTAGATGGTTGTGTTCTGTTTCTGTAAAAATGCCATTGGGGTTTTGATGAAGGCTGATTGCATTGAGTTAGTAGATCACTTTGGGTAGTATGGACATTTTAACAATATTTAATCTTCCAATCTATGAACATCAGATGTCATTCCATTTGTTTGTGTTTTGTTTAATTTCTTTCATCAATGTTTTATAGTTTTCAGATACAAGTCTTTCACCTTCTTAAGTTTATTCCCCGGTATTTTATCCTTTTTCACTGCTATTGTGAATAGGATTGTTTTCTTAATTTCCTTTCTGGATAGTGTGTTGTTAGTAAATGGAAACACAACTGATTTTGTATCCTGCAACTTTCCTGAAATCACTTCTTAGTTCTAACAGGTTTTTTTTGTGTGGAGTATTGAGGGGTTTCCCACATTTAAGATTGTATCATCTATCTGTAAAAGAGAAATAATTTTACTTTTTTCTTTCCAATTTATATGCCTTTTATTTCTTTTTCTTGACTAACTACTCTAGGTAAGACTTCTAGTACTATGTTGAGTAGAAACAGTGAGAGGAAGCATCCTTCTGGTTCTTGATCCTAGAGAAAAAGTTTTCCATTTTTTACCATTGAGCGTGGCAATGGGGAAAGGATTGTCTTTTCAATAAATGGTGCTGGGAAAACTGGTTGTCCACATACAAAAGGAATAGAATTAGACCTTTACACCATACACAAAAATGAACTCAAATGGATTAAAATGTAAACATAAGACCCAAAACTGTAAAATTCCCAGAACAGGGGCACCTGGGTGGCTCAGTTAGTTAAGCATCCGACTCTTGGTTTCAGCTCAGGTCATAATCTTGCGGACACACACACACGTTTTGGTGAAGATGTGGAGAGACTAGAACCCTTGCACACTGTTGGTAGGAATTCAAAATGGTACAGCCACTATGGAAAACAGTTTGAAAGTTCATCAAAAAATTTAAAATAGAATTACCATAGGCTCTACCAATCCCACTTCTGGGTATTTATCCAAAAAACTTGAAATCGGGATCTTGAAGAGATATTAACACACTATATTCATTGTAGCACTATGTACAATAGCCAAGATGTGGAAACAACCTAAAAGGCAATTGAAAGATGAATAAAGAAAATGTAGTATATACATACAATGACATACTTCAAAAAAAGGGGGGACATTCTGTAATGTGAAACAACATGGTTGAACCCAGACACAGAAAGACAAATACTGCATGATTCCACCTAGATGAGGTATCTAAAATAATTAAATTCATAAAATCAAAGAGGGGATGGATGGCTTCGGGGAGGAGGAAATGGGCAGTTATTAACCAATGGGCATAAAGTTCCAGTCAAACAAGATGAATGAGCTTTAGAGGTCTGTGGTACAACATAGTACCAGTCACCACCAATAAAATATTGTACACCTGTAAATGTGTTAAAAGGGTAGATCCTGTGTTAACTGTTCTGATTCCAATTTTTAAAAAATTTTAAAAGAAACAGGTCTGTTTGATGTGAAACCAAGAACATTCGCTTTCCAAACATCTCTCCTCTAAACTTTTTACATCTATTTTTTAATTTTTCTCATGTCATGGAAATTCTGATCTGCTCCTCCTGTCCTCAACAAACTGGGAAAAAATCCACCTCTACTCCTTTGCAAGATTCCTTCTTGCAATTAACAGAATATTTTGTCACTCTCACCTTTCTCTTGTGCAGAGGGGTTGTCTCCTGGTCTTTGCACTTCCCTTCAAAGTCCAGATTTCCTCCGTCTTAATCATTTTCCCTTCTCGAGCAAAATGTTCTTTTACATGTGGGAATGATGTCACCCAACTCAGAAGCATTTTAACGCAGGGGAAGGGGCAGACCTTAGTTACATATGCACCCACTGATGTTTTGCTTATAATTGGCAATTTTCATTAGAAGGTCCGGCCTTCAGCAGCATTATCTTATTCATCCTTGTAAACGCTCCTGAGAGGAGGCAGGTGTCAAATGTTAGAGTCAATTTTAGGGGGGCGTGGAGCAAGGTCAGAGGAAATTTACCATTCTCACATGCTGCCCATGGAACATCGTAGGGTCAGGAATAGAACCCAAACCTTGTGACTTTTGTTTGGCGGCCGCCTCAGACCATGCCCTCATACAGAACACTGCCATCATCCTTGTGTAGCTGCATTTCGAGGAGCTTTAGACCTCAGATTGCGCCATCTAGTGGTAAAGAGAAATCCCATGACAGACCAAATCTGCTCAAAAAAAGTGTAATCAGGCCTTATATTTCATATAAAAAAGAGATGACAGGCTAATTCTAAAGTCATATTCCTGCAACATTAAAATGTATCCATTTTTAAAATATAATTTTATCATATACAAGTCTACTTTTGTGTTGATTGCCTCAAAGCACTTCAAATTTTAAATAAGTTGTATAATTTATAAAGATTGTCAGCAGCATTATAACATGATGTTTAAATACTATTAGTAATACAGCGCCTTTCTTTAGGAAAGCTCAAGGTAATTGCCACCTATTAATTTTTTCCCTTTCAAGAGTCTTGTGAAGTAAAAACGATAGCCATCATTAGCCTCATTTTACTGATGACATAATTGAGTCTTAGGATGATGTCACCACAGTTACATAGTCAAAAAAGCCAGCTGAGAATTTAATTTTTCTGATCGTATTCCAGTGTTTTTCCCAAAAGTAATTGTTTCTTTAAAATGTACCTGTGGGGGCACCTGGGTGGTTCAGTCGGTTAAGCGACTGCCTTCTGCTCAGGTCGTGATCCTGGGGTCCTGGGATCGAGCCCCACATGGGGTTCCCTGTTCATCGGGGAGCCTCCTTCTCCCTCTGCTGCTCCCCCTACTTGTGTGCTCTCTCTCTGTGTCAAATAAATAAATAAGATCTTAAAAAAGAGATATTAAAATTTACATTTGAGGATTTTCTCCTGTTATGACTACTGTTCTGAGAAAATTGAAAGCGTGGAATTTTCAGTGGAGTCACTGTGGCTGCTTTTAGTTGTAGTAATGAAACATTGGAGAGTTTAACTGTAATCTAACAGGCATAAATCTTTCAGTTTGTTATAAAAGCAAGTTGAAAATATCTCACTCTGGTCTAAGGTCTAAAACCTACTTCCTTAGTTACACAAAAATATATTTCATGGTTTCCAAACACATCCATGACAAATGTTTTATTATTAAGAGAAGCTAATTAGAGATAAACTTAATCCTTTAAAGTCAAGATGATCATAAAGGATAGGCTTGACAAGAGATATTATAACATCGCCTTTTAAAAGCAATTTAAACACAAGAAGCTCTGATCCTCATCAGTTGCAAAGTGATAATCTAACCAAATCCAGTGTAGTCGAGATTAAGATGAGTCCACATCCTACTCAGCCACATTCCCAATGCGTGACCCTGAGTAAGTCATGCAGCCTGTCAGAAACTCAGCTTCCCTATCCGTCGGGGGGACCTCCTCCAGATGCAGTTTTTCTGATTTTCAGGCTTTGCTTTCCCTAGGCAAAATCTGGACATGGAACTATAATCATAAAGAGCTGAGTGTGATGGGTGTAGTTTCTAAAGCCTCCCTCAGAGCATCCATACCATCTAGTTACTGGTGCTGTTTACAACTGCTTGGCTTAGCACAAATTCTGTCATCAAAGCTGGGAAAGCTTTTCACTATCAGGTCAATGTCATCATGATGTCATTATAAGGGTTAGAAGGAATGTGTAATTTTTCAGTATTAACATCACGTC